CATGTGTGCTTCCCTGTTGGCAGTGTGAACCACAGATGTGCAGAAGCCTGGGGATACCCTAAGAAGGCATCGGATCCCCAGGGACTGAAGCTATACTGTTGAATGTGGGGAACCGAACCTGGGTCCCCTGCAAGAGCAGTTAGTTCTCCTAGCTGCTGGGACATCTCCAGCCTCATCCACCTTATTTTTTGAGGCAGGGTCTCTCCTTGAGCCTGGAGCTCACTGGTTAGGTAGACTGGGTAGCCCGTGTGCTCTAGGCACCTGCCTGTCTCTGCACAGCCCACCCCAGCTGGAGTTACAGATGTGCCCTGACACTGTGCCTGTTTTTACCTGGTCCTGGAGATCCAAATTCAGGTTCTCATGCTTTTGTAGGAAGTACTTTAGCAACTGAGCCATCTCCCCTACTCCAAGTTTTGAATATTATGTTATTTTTGATCACTGTACCTGTTGTCAACTCTAATTAAATGATACATGATTGGGCTGTGTGATGGTTCAACAGGTAAAGATGCAGCTAAGCCTGATTCCCTGAGTTCAGTCCTAACACCCAGGTGATATGGTCTCAATCCCTGGGATGCCCGTGGTAGAAGGAAAGAACTGACTCCCAAAAGTTGTCCTCTGAACTCCACAGTGCACACACATTCACACGAGTGTGCACACACAGACACACGCACATCAAAAATTAAAAATAAAAAAGTATTATTAATGTATATGAGCATTTTTTTCTCATAGTATTAAAGGTTGAACCCATGGTATCATGAAAGTACTTTACCCCTGGGAGCATATCCCAGACCTCTTTTTTTTTTTTTTTTTAACTTTAAAAACTTTTCTTTTGAGACGTGGTTTCAATAAGTGGTCCAGGTTGGCCTTGAACTCGCTGTAGCCCAGGAAGACCTTATTTTACGGTTTCCCTGCTTCTGTCTTCAGGTAACTGTGATTATGCATCTATTCCCCCAGGTCCAGATAACTTATTTTTAAACATTTGAAGCATGTAAAAGCACCTGTTAAGGAAGGTGTGGCTGGAGTAACTGAGAGGAGGGGCACAGAACAACACCCTCAGTTTTGAACAGAGGCCTCAGTTTACCTGGAAAAGACTCTCACTGAAGGAAGATCCACTTATAAGGTCCCACTTGATCATATGTATTTGAGGGGACAGCCTTCAAGTCCTGGAAAAGGATGAGGCTAAACCTCATCTTGGTGTCTTTAAAGTTTTTTTTCTCATATTTCTCATAGCTATGGATTGAAGGCTCACTAATAAGATACCGATTCTTCCCAAGTTGATCCATAACATTACTGCAAGTCTTCCGACTGCTGTTTTTGTGAAAACTGATAAGCTGATTCTCTATGTGGAGATGCAAAAAAGAGTTTAGAACAGAAAAGGCTGTTCTACAAGGTATGAAGACCTGGACCAGAGCCCTGGGAGCTGAGACTGCGTGAGATTGATGTAAGAATAATGAACCAGGGCCACAATAGAGAACATCACATCCCATACCAAATGTACACGGTCAATGGAGCAGAAGGCTCTATAATGCATCCAGGATAGGGGGGTCAGCAAGCCCTGGTGCTGAGACGGGGGACAGTGACATGGGGAATGATGGATCTTGATCCCTGACTCACACAAAACTCAGAAGCAGTCCCAGGTTGAGCCATGATCTAATAGAGAGGACTAGTAGTCAAACTCCAAAAACTTTTTTTTAAACCCAGAGAATCTTAGCCCTGAGGCAAAGATTGTTTAACAATATACAAAAGCACTAACCATAGGGGGGACCTCCATAAATTTGAGTATACTAAAATTGAAAAATTATATTGTTCAAACGACATCATTACAAGAATAAAAGGGCGAGCTCCAACAATCAATACGCACTTGGAGAGATGAATGGATAAACAAACCCAGGCGCAGCCAGAGGATGGAATGCGACTCGGAGAAAGGAAAAGCCATTGATGAACTCCACAATGCCGAAGATCCTTCAATGGATTTCGCTGAGTGAAGGAAATCAGACTCAAAAGGCTACATATTGAGCCTGGCACAATGCCTGTAACTCTAGTGCTCAGGAGAATTAGTAAGTGTTCAACCGGGCTAGTCTGAGCTACTGAGACCCCATCTCCAAATAAATAAATAAATAAATAAATAAATAAATAAATAAATAAAAGAGGGTGAGGAAGGCAGAAGGAAGAAGGGAGGGAGGCTACGTATTGTAGGAGTCCATTCTGGAAAATGCTGAGCTATAGGGAAGGAAAGACAGAAAAATGGTAGCCATCAGCTGGGGAAGGAGAAACCAACTTTAAGGGGCTTCACAAGGAAAGTTTCAGGGTGAAGGGCCTACTCCAGATGTTGCCTTGGTGGAGGGGGTCAGATCCAACCTCTATGCACTTTTGTCTGTTGGTGTGTAGGTATGTGTGTATGAGGACAGGCCCGGGGTGTTGGATTCCCCTGCAGGTATAGGTGGCTGTGAGCTGCCTAAGGTAGGTGCTGGGTCTACTGAACTCAGGTCCTCTGCAAGAACAGTGCTGGCTCCCAACCACGGAGCCACGCCCCCTGCAAGTCTGTGCGTTTTTTCAAAGCCTCTATCACCACAGGAGTGAGCTCTAACTGGGTGCAAATTAAAAGCAGTTAACAACAGGATAGCAGTGATCTTGGGAGGGAAGCCAGGCATGCAACAGATGAAAACACTGCAAAAGTGTGCCCAAAACACACTGTAATGTGTGCCAAAAGGGCAGCGAGAGAGGGAAAACCTGATGGAATGACTTTGGAAAAGAGGGTTTCAGTTGGGTTCTGGAGAGGCAAAGAGAATAATAAGTCTACACTGTACTCTGGGGCCCAGAGGAGTTTGCTTCTCGCAGGGGTATGTGGGTCAATCATTCTGAGACTATGCCAGAGTTCAAAAGATAAATGGCAGGTAGGCGAGTTACCATGCGGCTAAGTTACAAATAAGTAAGGTGGTAGGGGTGAGGTGTGGTAGTCAGGACACCATCATGAACTCCATGGTATCTTAATATATGTAAACAGAGAAGTACAAAATCAAAATACTGATGGGTGACATCAGGCATTGTGTATGTGTGTGCTCATGCGTCATGCTTATGTGCCTGCCTGAGATGGTCAGAGGACAACCTCAACAGTTACTTCCACATACTGCCAACCTTGTTTGTTTGAGAAGACAGGTTCTCTCACAGGCCTGGAGTATGCAAGCAGGTGTGGCCTTTAGGCTGGGAGCTCCAGGGATCTGCCTGCCTCTACTTCCCCAGCCCAGGGATGACAAGTTAATATGGACTGCTTCACAGATTTGGAAGGGGCCATATGCTAATCTCTGTGTTGTTCCTGCCCAAGTGAGTGACTGGCTTTTCTTTTCATATTGGCTCTGGGCATTGAACTCAGATTCCTGTAAAGCAAGCACTTTGCTGACTGCATTAGCTCCCAAGCTCCAAATTTCCTGGATTTGATAGGCGTGCCATGGTTCTTTGAGGTGCTGGCATCAGGGAGGGCTGAGTGAAAGAAAAAGAGGGCTTGCCTTCTAAATTCCAGGAGCAAATGCTTGCAGTAAGCAAGTCACATTTGGAAATGAAACTCAAGAATGTATGAATATCTTCAGCATTAGGTACTTACAATAGAAAATTTGCAATATTCAGCATAAGAAAAGACAGTCATGCAAAAATGTCAAATATTAAGAACCATTTCAGTAGAAAACAAAAATCATGTAATGGAAACAGGGTCCAACACAACTCAAATAATAAAGCAGACATGAACAGTAAAACAACAGCTATAGTCACACTACCTATGTTCTAGAGGAAGCTGGGCTCAGAGGTACATACTGTAAACTCAGCTACTTGGGAAGCTAAAGTGGGAGGGTTGCCTGAGCTTGGGAGTTTTGAAGCCAGCCCAGGCAACAAAGTCAGTCTCTATCTCAAAGCAAGCAGGCAAACATTAGAGGTGAAATGATTTGCAAACTGTAACCACACACATTCAAGATGCTCCACAGATAGATAGATACTCATCAAGACACAGGAAAAAACAAATTAAACAAGTAATAAGACAAAAAACCCAAAACAAAACAACAACAACAAAAACAAACATTTTTCCAGAGATAAGGAAGCCTAGACAGGAACAAAGATAAAATACCAGATTCCTTGTGTGAGCAGGTCAGATGACAATAAATCCATTGTTTAATTCTCTGGGGGGAGAGATTCTTATCCTGCTATATTCTATACCTAGCAAAGATGTCCTCTGACATGAAGGCACTGAAGCTAAGAGAACTTGGTAGCAACAGAACGCAGCTAGGAAAAGCATTCCAGGAAATAATACAGAATAAGCAGAATGAAAATACCAGAAAGAAACTTGGATCTACCCAAAGAAGTAAAGGTCACCAGAGATGAGACATATGTGAGAGAATAGAAAATCCTTTTGAAAAGAGACAATTCACAATTACAGCTGGAAATGCCAACATTTTTCTGCCAGTAATTAATAGAACAAATAAATTGTCCCCAAAGTCATGAAGAATGCAAAAGACTATCAACCAACTGGATATAATGGATGTTTTCTAGAAACCTCTACCTCTCATAGCAAACATACTTTTTTTTTTTCCAAGTGCATTTGGAACATTGACCAAAATAGACTGGATTCTGGGTTAAAAAGCAAGTCAGTGAATTTAAGAGGACATAAATCATACAGACTATGTTCTTTGACCATAACTAAATTAAATTGGAAATCAATAATGGAGAAAACATCTTGAAAATCCTCAAAAAAAAAAAAAAAGAAAAGAAAAGAAAATACTTTTAGCTAAATGAAAATAAAATCATATCCAAAGTTGTGGGGTTTAGTGCATATGGGGAAATTAGCACTGATAGTGAAAAAGAAAAGGACAACTGAAGTAAGTATTTGAAAGGTCCTTTACCCTTGGGGGAGAGGGAGGTTGGGGGGCGGGGGTGAGTCTACCAGCCAGTCATCACGCTACTTCTGAGCTATCTGCTTCCTGGATGTACCTGTCCCAGAGGAATGAAGAGCTTCTTACCAGAAGTGGTGGCATGGGGACCACAGGCTGACGCAGCTCTGTGTTCCCTGAGAGCAGAGGAGCCAGGTGACCCTTCTGTGTGAGGTTCCCCTTCCATCAGCCTCTGCCTGGGAGGATTTCCTATTTCCTGATCTGAACCCGGAACAGCCCTTCAGCATCAGAGCAGCTCTACCAGAAGGTGGCAGTGTTGGGTCAGAACCACTCGGTCAATTTATAAAAACAACACAAGTGAGCGCCTGCTGTATGCAGACAGGTGGCAGGATAGATACCAGTCTTCCATTTGACAGTGAGAACGCGGGACTCACAGGAAGAGTTGGCTATGTGCTGCTGCCCTGAAGAGCCTTGCGGCTGCTTTTTATACAAAGCTCCTAAATCCTTCCACTATTTAATTAAACCCCAAGAAACTTTCTCAAAATCATGTTCCTAAGACCAAGGCATGTGGGCCCAAGGCATTACCCAGAATCCCACACCCTTGTCAACTGTCAGAGGCTCTAGAAACAGGCCAGTGGTAGTGTAAATGCCACTTTATCTGTGTTTTGTGAGCAAAGCTCATGATCCGAACACAAGTCCTTGTAACAAATGCTTAAGTACAAGCCATGGAGCTAGATGCTGGGGTCCCATCATGACAGGGAAACTACCTCTACCTTTTCCATGCAGCTCCTGGCACTTACAGAAGTCTCTCCAAAAACACGGAAATGTGGGAGAAAGGTCGAAACCAAACACTACAGCCCCCCCCCCCATTATCTTCAAGGGACATGGGAAGTTCAGAAAGGACTGAAGCCTCACACAAACAGCTCTGTGATACCTCTAAGTTGCTCAGATAACTGAGAAAGCTATTGAGTGTTCAGTGGAGGGTAGCATATACAGTGTGGACACGCTGGACACTGGGAAGATTCACGTCTGCAGCTGGAAAGTGAGATTCCACCCGCCTACTCAGAAACTGCATGCTCTTTGAAACTAAGAACTGTTTATTTCTGGGGCCTGGAGAGATGGTCCAGGGGTTAAGAGCATGCGATATTTTTGCAGAAGGTCTGAGTTTGTTTCTCAGTACCCATAACCACCAGGAACTCCATTAACATGGGGGAAATACAATGACTCTGGCCTCTCAGACAACTGTACCCATGTGCACATATCCATACCGGCACAAAATTTAAAAAAAATGAAAAAAAAAGGAACTATTTCTTTCTAGACCACAGAAGTACCACCAATGGTAGGCCACAGTTGGCTGTCGATAATTGCAACTGTAGAAAGGTATATGACCGAAGAGCTGGGACTACTGCACACAGCAATGCATGATGGCACGAGGTAGGACTGGGCAGTGTGTCCTGAGAGGGAGGACAGACAAACAGCCTGGAAGAAGAAACCAGGTAGAAACAAGGTAGAGTGGGACTGAGGGGGGTTCAGGGAGGAGATTCGGCCAGGGCCCTAGAGACACTATTGAAAGGGGAAGAGGACAGAGAGTGAGGCCAAGGGCCCCTCATGGTGGCTCTTCTCCTGGATGTCCAACTCTCACAGGATGAGGGACACTACAAAGGAGAGAACAACAGTGGGGCTGGATGTGGACCCTGATTGTTCTGCATGAGCTTGCATGCCCACTTCAGGGGATAGGAGTGGGAACATGGAGGGTGAAGGGGTTTGCAGGGTGGGAACAGAGGATACAGGAGGGTGGGGGTGGGAACTTGGAGGAGGAAGCTGACACAGGTGGACACCCTGCTTCTACGGCCAGGCCCCCGTGCCTCATTCCCACTAGTCTCTGCCACAAAAGTTCACCCTTCTTAAAGGTCCTGTGAGAGCTGTCTCCTGGTGACAGATGGGCTGGCAGGGACAAGCAGGGGATATGTCCTGCTGGCAGCTGGAGGCAGATCACTGGTGGAGCAAATACAAGAGCGAGGCAGTAAAAACATTAAACAACTATGGGCTCACGAGGCCTGAGCCTGGCTCAGAGCCACCAGACCAGTCTCTTCCTAGATTCCAGACCCATAGATATGTCATGCTTCCCTGAGGATCCTTCCAGAAGATCCATCTGCCCTAGACCTTCCCTGAGGTGGAGATCAAGGACCCTCAGTCTTCAGAGGCCATCCAGGAGTTGGGCCTTATGTTGTGGAAGACTTGGGACAGAGTGAACCAAGCACGGGTTCTGGAAGCAGATAGTTTGTAAAGTGGTAATACAATTTTTTTCATGTAGCCCAGGTTGGCCTTGAACTCACTGTATGGCTAAGAATGACCTCACATTCTTGATCCTCTTACCTCTGTCTCCAAAAGGTTGGTGTGCTACCATACCAACATATGTAGTATAACTTTTACTACATTTATTTTTACACACACACACACACACACACCACTGCACACACACACACACACACACACACACACACACACACACA